AAAAAAAGATGGCGGCGCCCAGCAAGCCGCGGCCCGGTAGGAGTTGTTCCGCGGCCCGGTACCGGTCCGCGGACCGGTGGTTGGGGACCCCTGCCCTACAAGACACCTATAGCAAATAGCAATCAAAAGGACATGTAGAAGAAAGAATATCAACCTTATTAAAACACACACACATTTCAACCCTCTGGTAATTTATTTCCCTTTTATTAATGTTCTTATTTTTCTTGAAAACATAGCTTAGAATATTACAAAATATTTCAAGTGTGGATGAACCAGTTTTGTGTAATGGCATATTATATTTTATTTCCCCTATATACTTTCCTCAACATATCATTGCCTGAATGCGTAGTGTACAAGCCAGTGAACAATGCAATATTGAATTAGTGTCGGTGATATCCTGCTTAAAATCTACCCTCCATCATGGAAATTCAGTGGGTGACTGAGTCAATCACTGTTCTCTCAGTCACTTTATTCAAAAGATTGTTCGGTTAGGAAAAAATTGGGAGGAGGAAACACTATGTATGATCTCTTGTGCTCCTGAAAGAAAATAGATCTATCAAACTGAAGATAGAATCAGAATCTTTTTCAGAAAGAATTTTGAAAATATCCCATTTGTTTCCTTTAGAAATATGGGAAATAATGAGATGGGCTATTTAAAAACTTTCAATTGCAAAAGAAGTTCTTCTTGAAGGCAAATTAATTCTTTATTTGGTTTTGAAAAGAACAAAATGAATTCTTTGGTTTATTATTTTTTCAAAAGTGAAGGCCATGTATTATATATAGTCTTCACATAGCACAATATTTGACTGGTTTTTTTCCATATTTTTTCCATTTTCTATCACATTCAAATCTAGATAATGTCTGACAGATAAAATAAAACAACCTTATATCAACAAAAACCATATTGCTTACTTCCAACTGAATTTTCAATTGCTTCTTTGGATTTTTGAATACCCAGTCTGAATTTCTGCAAATCAGGGCGGAGCTTGTGCCCTCGATGATAAAAGACTAAAGCAAATTCAAAATCACCCATAGTATACAAGGCTTCTGCTTTTTGATACAGTCCCTGTAACAGAAAGGAAAACTATTGGACTGAAAAAAGAACAATTGGAAGAAATATATATTGTACATAGAAGTGAACAGCAAGTATACACACATTTATCTCAAAATCCAATAATTTATCCGATGTAACCAACTGGAATTTGAACACAATCTAATAACATTTTCCCTCCTCTATTGCCAGCTTTATACTGTTTTATTTAATTAATTTGTTTTAAGAAACTATCTTCCTGTTTATCCCTCTGCACTTCTAATTTGCATTGCTTTCAAGATGATTTCCTAACCTGGTAATTGGGAGGGAATTGGGGGGAAAAACATAACTTTCTTCTAGCAATAAACTAGATAACCAATGACAGATTTTGAAATCTCTTAGGTTTGAAACAGGTATTTCTGCTTACCTTAGTAAATTCTTTGTCAGCAGTCAGAGAGGCTTCTGCATCTTTTAGGGCATTTTCTGTATCTCCAAGTCTCAAGTAGCATTTTGAACGGGAAACAAGGCAGTTCCTGTCACCAGGTTGAAGCTGCAAAGCCTAGCCCATAAAAAAAATTGTTTTCAATCTTCCTCAATTATGATTGCTATAAGCTGAGCATTACATACCCATTATTTCTCTGGTGAAATCAGAGATATATTTTTCTTATGCGTAAATTGTATTCTATAATTTATAAGCTGCACTGCGTTGTTATATATTGCTAAACTCTGGATTTTGTGATCACGTTCTCTGCAGCCCCTATATTCTTTGTCTTAAGTATAATATTCTTGATATGAGTGCCATGAAAAATACTTTCTCTCCAACTTTTTCTTCTTCCATCCTTTTCCTCCATTTGTGTTTACAGACAAAAGCTCTAATAAAGGAAACATAATAGTGCTGCAACATGCATATTAACTGATGAGAAAGCTTCATCTCAAAGATAGGAGGGAGTACAGAGCCAAATAGAAAATAAACACGAAATTTGTTTTGTTGCTATTAATTGTTAGCAACTTTGAAAACTTGTAGGACTCTAGGGATTGAACAGCCTCTCTACACTGCATCCTCTATTTGGATAGCATATCTAAACAGCAATCATTTGAGTGCAATAAAGGCAGACATAAAATTCTAACTTCTTGCTGCCCTTCATAATTCCTGGAGCTTAGAAGTCGTAGCCGGATGCAATACCTCCTTCCAGTTACCATGTCCCACTGCTGTAGTCAATTCTCACTGCACAGAACTTCACCCATCACATCTGGGGACCTGGCTACCCCGGGTGACCCAGAGATGCAAGTCCCCAGCCTGCTGTGCAGCTCCTCGGATAACCTGTCTCCGTGCTGCTTTGCTGTGGGGAGGAGGAGATCAAACAAGGCTCTTGCAATTGCCCTTCGTGGGATTCCCACTGCAGTATTAAACCCTCCCCAGTTCTCGGCTCTCTGATGCCTGCCTGCTTAGGAGGCAGACTCGTTCCTCCCCGTCCATCTAGGGACTTCTCCGAATATCCACATGGAGAATGCTCACGTAAGTGTAGTAAGACAGAGCTTTGCTGAGCTCCCCGCGCCGGCTAAGCATTGTTCCTTCCGCCATGAGGCTGGGGAAAGTCCCACGCAAAACTTCCCCCTCGTTGTCTCCCATCTTGGAAGAAGGCAAAGCCGAGAAAGACGCGACGCAGTTGCCTCGCAACTTGCAGCCTAGCAACTGCAACACTTCCGGAAGTCCGACGGGCAGCCGAATGGATCAAAGGGTTTTAAAACTTTGGAAGAAGCCGTCCAGTAGCAGGGAATCTATATACTATTAGGATTGTCATACAAAATTCCGGACAATCACTAGATGGCTTGTATAGATATTTTGCACTCCAGATATAGTAACCCTATTTTATATGGCTTTTCTTTTATAGAACTATTAACCTAAACTAAACTGCCCAATTTTGTTTTTTCTTTGGCTGTCACTATTCCCTTTCCTCATTGAAAATCACATCTTGGAGCAGAGACTTTATTTAAAGAACTCTTCATAATTTAGTAAAAGTAAAAAGTAAAGTCTCCAAGTCAAACTCCTCTGGTAGGGATTACATGGACACATCCTTGAAAATGCCCCTGCAGGACAGGTACTGCCATCTGGTAACACAACATCTGCAAGCAAACAACCAAGCTCAGGAAGCACCAAGCACACCACAATTTTTCTATTTTCAGATGGAGAGATGTACAAAGTGATCTCATTATAAGAGGTTCAGCAGAAATTCTTTTAAATCATACTAGGCATATAATAGTTGCTTCCCATTTTTAATAAGGTAAGTTTTAATAAAATTTGTTTCATTTCTTGACAGATCCACAGATCCCTTAAGCAGAAAACAGAAACTAATAGAAATAGAAGAAACAGTATTCTGGTTTCTTAGCAAATTAGATATTTAGTAGGTTGTTGCAGAATCAATTGACTTCAGACTCTTTTATCATCAGGTTACATCAGCCTTCCAGGGGGTACTGCTGATGAATTGCTATAATTTTTCTGGTGTCATGGTCAAATAGGAAGGGTAGTTAACACTTCAGAACAGTAAAATTCAAAATGGGTGAAGTAGAATAGTAAACAAGGCCAAAAGTAACAGAATGAAATTGTGAAGTAGAGACAGTAAAATTCTTATCTCTGTCTTTGAAAACCCCAGCATGAGGGATGCACACTTTGGAAAGGGGAAAAAAAGTTAGACTTGCATGAAATCTCAAAACAGAACATGATTTTTAAAAAGTGAATGCAGTTTCTGATTGCATAAATAAAGTCACAGTTTTCTGGTCATGGAAAAGAAACATTTGACAAAAAATGTTTGGCATTAATAAACAGGGCCTACTAGAGCATCTACCTCAGGTAATTGTACTACAGGAAGCCGGGCAAACTAATTAGAACGGTTCAATGTTAGGCAACAAATATGGAAAGTAAAATGGGGGGAAATCCTTTGCTAAAAGAGTAAAGAGATCAAATATCTTTAGAGAAGAAATGACTAGAAGATAATAGAATATCCCTCTCAATCTCTTGCATTTAGTGGTTTTAGATATTAAAAAAAAATCTTTTTCCTAATTTTAACTCAATGTTATTATTCGATTTATTATTTTGATTGGTCCATAAATACATTTTGTTGTGGTGAGTATACACTGTCTTACTTTTTAAAATGTAAATCTGCTGCATTTAGATAATGTGTTTAACTATATCTTAAAACGTAAATAACAAATACAAAGTATATTTCAGTATTTCTTCACAATAGAGAAATTAAATAAAATAATGGGAAAAACCTTTTATTCCAATCTCTTATCTCTACAAAAAGCAATGATCTTTCCTTTGATAGAATTAATCAAATGCATAAATCCTCCTTTTCTGGAATTGCTCTAGTTCTGCATTCCTGTTTCAAATAGAGGGATGGCCTGAATGGCAGAACATGGTCAGAAGATCAAATGAGTAACGTCTAGTTTTCTCCTATGAATCAGAGTTGACTATCTGACTTGGAGAAAGGATTTCACTATGATGATGTCAATTCACCTGAATGTTTTCTCTCTCAGATTAGGAAGAGGCACCACTCTTGATCAGAATTTCCATATGTGTGTTGCACATGGATGTTTATATATACAGTATGTATATAAATTTAACTACTGAACAAAATATGATTGTGTTTTACTATTACATGAAATGTATTATTATTTTAATATTGGTATGTATCTGTTATTATCAGTGTGTGAAATTAGGCATTTTACAGAATGCCTAGAAACAATGCCAAAAATGGGATGTCTTAATATTGAAATGCTTAATATTTCACACATTTTCTAGGCATTTTATGAAATGCCAAAAAGCAAACTGGCAAAGTATAAAATATTCCTACTAAAATGCTATTCTAGCCTTCCTATTGCAACAAGTAGGTCAATATTGGTCTTTTTCTCTTGGTTTTTTCAATAAGAAAGTCCTGTAGTTTTTGGGTTTTTTTTGTATTTCTTTTTTCCTTTTCATATAGATCTTTTCAATAAAGGTTTAGGGTTAGAGTTAGGATTAGGGTATGGTTAGGATAAACCTTAATTTTAACCCTAACCCTTTCCATGACTCTCTTTACATACTTTGCCTAAATAGTTCTTGTCATTTTGCATAATACCTATGATATACAATATCTAGGGAAAGTATATGTGGTAGCATATTAAAATAACACAGATATTTCATACTTTGCTTAAAAACTCTATGCATTCTATGAAGTTTTCAGGCATACTATACAGCGTCAGCTTTTCACACATTGCGGGTAACATATACACTATTTGAAAATATCTTTTAACATTAAAAACAAATTAAATAATTAAGGTTCTCCCAAGTTTGAATCTAGACTAGAGAGAAGTACTGCAGCTTTGAGAAACAGAAAAACAGAGCAAGTAGGTGGTGATTGCATGTTACTATGTTGCAACCATATATCACCTGAGCAATGTAATGTATCTTCTGATATCAAGTTTGCCTACAGCTTAGTCATTAAAGTAAGCATCTGGAAATTTTAGTTAAGGATGTATCTATTCTAATGGCATACTAATATTAATTGGTATGTAGTTCAAATATGTACATAGGTATTTTTAGAAAGTGATGTTTAGGAAATATTTATTTTATTCTAGTCCCAAATTAAAAATAAATATACATTTCTTCTACAAGTATACCAAATAATGTTCACATATCAGATGACATTACAGTACCTAATTAGTTAATGAAATGCCTGAAGCAAGCAACCAAACTCAGAGAGCAACAAGAACATATAAAGCTATAGCAATAGCACTTAGACTTATATACTGCTTTATAGTGCTTTACAACCCTCTCTAAGCGGTTTACAGAGTCAGCATATTGCCCTCAACAATTGGGGTCCTCATTTTACCCACCTCAGAAGGATGGAAAGCTGAGTCAACCTTGAGCCTGGTGGGATTTGATCTGCCAAATTGTTGGCAGCTGGATTCAGCAGAAGTAGCCTGCAGTACTGCACTATAAACATTATGCCACTGAGGCTCTATGTCTTCCTATGAAGGAAAAAAACTAAAGTAAATAATATTTTTCTTCTTACAAACTTCCAAGAGGTACCCAGTTGATCACTATGCACTACAGAACATTGAATTAAACATATCTTGGTTTGAACTAGCAATGCTTTTCATATACAGTGCTGCTTATCAAGGCTAACCAGGCAGTGAACTGTAGTCTGGTCTTCATCTCAATAACCATATATGGGATTCTGTTGTTTATGGTTAGTTAGTATAGCATGTGAGTAATTATATGGCGCCCCCTGCCCTCTGAAATAGATGTCTATTCTGCTGGAGTTATGTATTCTCCTTAAGACCTGGTTTTGTTCCCAGGCCTGGAATTATTGTGTCTGCAGAAGCTCTGGTGTGTTTTTTATTTTTTATTTATTTTTTATTTATTTTTTATTTATTTTTTATTTATTTATTTATTTATTTATTTATTTATTTATTTATTTTTGTTTATTTATTTATTTATTTATTTATTTATTTATTTTTGTGAAGCGATTATAAGATAACAGGTATAAGTATAAACATAGTTATGAATATATGAAATGTATACATATAAGAAAAATAAAAAGAAACAATAGGACAGGGATGGTAGGTGCGCTTATGCACGCCCCGTACAGACCTCTTAGGAAAGGGGTGAGGTCAATAGTAGACAGTCTAAGTTTTTGAGGTTTGGGGAAGAAACCACAGAGTCAGGCAGAGTATTCCAGACATTGACCACTCTGTTGCTGAAGTCGTATTTCCTGCAATCCAGTTTGGTGCAGTTTACCTTGAGTTTGTATCTGTTGTGTGCTCTTGTATTGTTATGGTTGAAGCTGAAGTATTCATTGACGGGTAGGACATTGCAATGTATAATTATATATACTATACTTAGATCGGACCGAAGGCGGCGTAGTTCTAGATTTTCTAGGTCTAGAATTTCAAGTCTGGTGGCATAAGGTATTCTGCAACAAGTAGAGGAGTGGAGAACTCTTCTTGTGAAATATTTCTGGACTTGCTCAACTGTATTAATATCAGATACGTAATGCGGGTTCCAGACTGATGAGCTGTATTCAAATATTGGTCTAGCAAATGTTTTGTATGCTCTAGTTAGTAGTGTGATATTACCAGAGAAGAAGCTATGTAGGATTAGGTTAACAACTCTTAATGCCTTTTTGGCTATGTAGTTACAGTGGGCTCTAGCACTTAGATCATTAGAGATGAGAATTCCAAGGTCCTTGACAGAGTTTGGATCATCAACATGGGCTTGTCTATTCAGCTTGTACTTTATTTTCTGATTTTTTTGCCAATATGTAAGACAGAGCATTTATTTGTTGAGATTTGAAGTTGCCATTTGTTTGACCATTCTGATACATAGTCGAGGTCTTTTTAAAGGGTAGCAGTATTGTCGGTGGTGTTGAATAGCTTTTGCTCTTAATATGATCACACAGGTCATTTATGTAGAGTATGAAGAGAGTTGGTCCTAGAACACTGCCTTGGGGGACCCCACTGTTAGCAGGTACAGAGTTTGATAGGACGCTCCCAATTTTGACCACTTGTCGTCTGTTTGACAGGAATGCTTCTATCCAGTTATGCAGGTGTCCAGAGATATCATAAGATTTTAGTTTTAGGAGTAGTTTGTCGT